GAGAAGAAGAAGAAGAAGAAGAAGAAGAAGAAGAAGAAGAAGAAAAAGAAGAAGAAGAAGAAGAAGAAGAAGAAGAAGAAGAAGAAGAAGAAACGAATGACGGTATGCACATCACATTATGAACGTGAGCACCATGGGTTAGAAGGACTAACTATCAAAAGGGCATTTCATAAGTTGTGTTTTAATATATGAATTTTAAATTTTGTCTCGGACTTTGCATAACTCCAATGTAGTGGGAGGGAGTTCCAGAAAGATGGAGAAAAATGTGAAAAGGACCTCCCAGCGAGTCTTTGATCTCCCTTCCTCCGATATGTTCTTATAAGAGACTAATCTCTTGATCTTAATGGGCCGGACGTCCTTCGGTGAAAATACTCGTAAATATCATGAGGCTATGAGCGAGTCTAGCAATTGAACTGAGTAGAATAAAATAAAATGAAAAGTCGTCCATGGCGCCCCGACGGGTGACAGGACTGCGGGATTGAAAATGGTGATGGCAACGGAATTAGACTTATTAGCAACAGCAACAGCAACAGCAACAGCAACAACAACAACAACAACAGTACAAGTGGCAAAAACAACAATAACAAGAAGAGTAACAAGAAGAACAACAACAAACAATAACAACAAACCACAACAACAACAACAACAAACAACAACAACAACAAAGAAACAACAAAAACGACGATAACAACAGAAGCAATATCAACTAGTAACCATTGTATTCCCAGAGTGGATGGTTAGCGAGTGCTCTGGTGTGGTTTGCTCCTTCTTTCCTTTCCAATATAATTCTATCGTCCTTTTTATCTCCTTTAGTTAGTATGCTACTCTCTTGTAACACCCCTAATCTTCGGCACACACGTGCTATTAGTGTTGCAAGTTCTGTTAAACTCTCACTACAACCAAGTGTTCCTTGATATAACGTATGAGCCGAGAAGACTGTGCCCAGCCCAACTGCGACTGACCTGAGTCCGCTGTAGTTGAGGGGCCATGACCCGGGCTGGACGGGGCACTTGATCCCAAAGGCAAAAGTTTCGATTCGGCTTCCATTTTCCATATAAGGGAAAATGTTTTCACATCCACTCCGCTCGACTTGGCTTCTTCGAGAGCTTTGAGAAATTCCATCTTGCACTGCAAACGACAAAATACTTTCAGTTTCAATTTCAGTTTTAGAGTTCATTTGGGCCTCCAATAACCTGCATTCAATTGCAGGCTACATAATGCACCACCCTCCTCCCTTTTTACACTTTCTCTTACACACACACACACACACACACACACACACACACACACACACACACACAC